CTTTGGTGGCCAGAGATTGACGAGTATTATAACAGTTCTGGTTTGAATGATTTTCCACTTAGTTAACAAAACGCTTTTAGGGGTTTTGCTATCAATTTATGAATTAGAATATTATGTACAAATTATTATACATCCACTATTTAGCCAATTCGTTCTATTAGGAAGTAAACGATCTCCTCAATACTTTTCGCTTACTTCCATTTTGATGACAAATACTTTTATTACAGGTGAGACTATTTTAATTATACGATTCTGTCATCTTAATATTATTTTCACCATGAGTTCAGTGTGCTAATAACTAATTCAACATTTATTGAATTTGATGGAGTTTCATAAGAATAATTATAAATTCCATTTATTTATCCTAAGATGTCCAAGAAATTTTGGGAAAAGGGACACAGGCAGCTCTCGAAGGTTAGTGTCTCTACTCGGTTATACACCGTCTTGTTGCACCTTTCTTAAGTATTTCAGGAAGAAATGATTGACCATAATCTGTTGCAGACTACTAGAGACTTAGAGGAACAGATGCCAAATAAAGTCATTAATGTCTTTTCATCCTCCTATATAGGGTCAGTCATCCACCTAATACAGGAACTAAGCACACGCGCCCAAATTAAATCAATTGGACAATACTGAACCAAAAATCAATAAAAGTGGGTGGTGTGACGTAGTATCAAAAGGAACCTATAAAAGGTGACAACCTTGCCGAATTCTTCAGTCCAGGAAACGCCTTCAAGTTATCTAGTCAAGAAACCACCATCTAATCAGATGTGCTCTTCGTGTCAGTCCACCAACCGCCACCAAGTTAACTAAATAGTTGTGTACTGTCATCGAGTTTGTTCTACGACTCCAGTTCCAAAAATCTCTTCAAGTACCAAGTGCCTTCTTCGAGTCTCGTCCTAGTCAAATTCATTCAAGAAGATAATTTCTACTACGAGGCACATTTCTGTTTTTCTAAGGACTGCATTACCTTGACATCAAATCAATAATTCGGTTACTTCTAGGCTGCATTCTTCAAGTTTCAATCAAATTCATTCAAGGAAAATTCATACGAGGAGATAATTCCTAATGCGAGGCACATTTCTATTTTACTAAGGACTGCATTATTTCGACTTCAACGTCAAATCAATAATTCGACACCTGGACTCCGGACCTTTCACTTTGGCTTTCACTTTGGCCCGAAAACAATTTGAGGAAAATCTACTGCATTCTCTGTTTCAGCTAGACAAAGTCATTTCCTCGACCTCACACTGAAGGAGGTATCGCTTGCTGGGTCTACGACTCTAACAATAATTTTAAAAGTGTACCTGAAGATATCTGGATCTACCCTTTCTCTCTCATTCTAATGGTAAAGGATTCAAATAAAAACTTTAATAATTTAATTTCAATTTTCACAGTTACTCTCTTAAACCTGTCGCTTAAGATCAGAGCCTTTCACTCTAATCAGGTATGAATCACCGATGCCGGAGAACTTAAACATATAATTTAGGGTATGTTTAGATTCCTTCTGAGTCGTAACAAGAATACAGAAAGTCAAAAAATTGTTAACAATAATTGGGATAGAGTTTAATATCGAACCGGCACGAACAATGGATAAAGATGACAATGGATCCAAAGTTATATTCAGTAGAGATGAGAAGTGAAGAAAGAAAAAAGTATATAATGAAGTTAAAGGGGAGGTTAAACAAAGTAATTGATGATAAGAAATAGAGCAAAAAAAATTAAAATTATTACTAGGATTTGTTCTGCAATTCTGTTGAATTATTAGGATATTGATATAATAGCTTAAGTTTCTCTAAAGTTTTATGAAGAATTCGAATTATACAGAAAAAGATATTAAAGTAAATGTGAAGGATGGTGTATGCAGTAAAGTTTGGAATTGATGAACAAATAATAGAAGGGAGAGTAGCAGTAAAAAATAGAGTAGATGGTAAGAAAATCTATGAATGGTGGTTAGATAATAAAACGATGGTTGTAAGTAATAATGGGTACGTATTAAGTTGAATCGTTAAAAGTATTGACGAGTACCAGAGGAAATATCAATGCTGTTAGAGGTTGTATTAACATTTAAGAGGTTGAGTGATAAAAGATATTATGCTAGTAAAGGCAAATAAAATCCCGGCACAGGCAAAATAAGTTATCAAGGTAGGACAAGATTGAGTATAGAATATGATTGGGTAAATTGATTAAAACTTGTGAAAGTATTTAATGCCGAACTTACTGGCAGCAAAGCTATTAGAGCATATTAAACTTTTAATCATAGGAAAGCTATTTCAAGATTTTTCGAACTAAGAGATTATAACGCCTAAGATCAAATTAAGATATAAAATGTGTATGTACCAAGAAAATTCAAGCTCACACAAACAAGATACTGTTTCCTAGTTAAACTTTAGAAAATTATTTCACAGGTATGTGCTTCACTGCTTAAATTGGTTGACACTGAGCCAAGCACATCCATGTAGGATCAAGTGACTTGAGAGTAATGGATTAAAGTAGTCACCATGTCAAGTCAAATTTGTCTAAGCCATCTGTGGGTCAAGCATACTTCATTATTTTCAAAACCTATTTCTCGTTTTCTACACTCACACCTATCGATTTCACTCTAAAAATATATCATACAAGTATTTTTAATCTTGCGATAAAATTTACAATTTTTTTTCTATACATTCATTGTTTTTTCAGGTTTTCATTTATTTCTCCTTTATTTAAATTTCTTAATAATTGTCAATGCTTTTAGTAAATTTAATTACTGCGCTTTTTGTCAAATTATTGTTGGTTACATAAAGTAGAAAGTAATTTACAGGAGCATTTCAGTAGAAAGCTAGGAGCAGTAAAAGGTATTATTATTGGAGGAATATACATCTGGAACATTTAAGCGACCAACTCATTGTGGTTAATCAACTCTAGTTATATACTATATGTAACTGGCCACTAATAGAATCCCTCGTAGCTATTTGCTATTGTTAGATACCACAGGAGCCATCACAAATTTGATGGTCTTGCTAAATAATATCACAAATCTGCTTTTAACGTTATAAAATCAGACATTACTTCGTTTATAGTTATATATTTGAATCTACTAACCCAGAAATGTCTCTTTTCAAGTTAATATTAAAGTGAAAAGTCTGTTTCTATTCTTGTTTTGTAATTAATTAAAATTTAATTCCAAATTGTTAACTGGGATTTTTATATTCGATTCGTTAGACTGAAATGGTTTTTATTCAATAATTCGCACATGGCATTCGAGATTTAATTGTCCAACGTTAATAATATATTTCACTCATAGATTTCTTTTTTTTAAGTTAGATTTGTACTATATGTAATTATGGTAAAAGAGTTAATTACATAAAGTTTTTGTTACGACGACTGAAAGAACCCAAGAAGGGATTAAATAAATGTAAGAAATATTAATAAAAAGTAACATTTTAATTAGTAAAGAAAACAAGTTAGAAGGATCGAAAATTTGTGCAACATTGAGAAACTTATGTGTGTTGTGCCTGAGAGAAATGAGAATATGCACTCTAGAGCCCCAAGCATCAAGATTCTCATTCTCCCCCAAAAGTTTTAAACTAGTTTTCGTTTTCATTTAAGTATACATGAGTTAAAACTATTTTCCTTCTAATTAAAAAAAAGGAATAGGTAATATATTACAATTGAATCTTTAAGAAACTAAAACGAAACTCATGCTATCTAAAAATAATAATTAAATTAAATTGTCTTTTTTTTTTTATTTTGTATGAATTAAAAAGAAAGTTTATCAACTCTAATAGGAAAATCGATAAGTAGGGCGACAAATAGTTGTTATTTATTCAGAAAAAATTATATTTAGAAGAAACGTATTTTGTCATAACCATTATATGTTACAACACAAAAGCTTTCTTTAACATTGATATTGAAACCTATCCTAACATCCATCAAATTTCCGCAAGAGAATCTCTGATGCGTCCACAGATATGCCTTTAATGATCAACAGCCAAAGCATTTTGCAGTTAGTAATATGATTTATCCCCGTATTCCGTCAGCTCAGTTATTCACATAGTCACCATTTAGATTTCGATTTGATATAAAAGTTTTCTAATATTTTACAATGACATTCGATGGCAAGTAAGAAATTATAAGATAAGAAAATATTAAAGTAAATTATTTTACTGATCAAAATAATTTTTTTAATTAAACTTTTAGTATATTAATAAATAATTAATCACCTTTTATATTTGCGAAGTTAATTTAATTTTAATTGATGAATTATAATTAGTTTAACTTCTACATTTTCAAGTATTATTTTAAAAAACTTGGTTTCACTAAAATCTTTTTAAGAGATAATTTATGTGATAGTTGAATATATATTTTTTAGTTTTTTAGATTTATGAAGAAATATACAAAAGAAAATGTTGAAAGTTTTGAGGACCTTGAAAATTGCAGTGGGATGTTGACTTTACCACAACCTCAAGAAGGTCCACCATAAGTTACAAAATTTTCGTTCAAGGAGGTCAAAAGATCACCTGACATGAGAGCAGTGTTATAAATAATTGTTAAGCAATTGGGTCGGAAACGACTACCACGTCTGAAAACTGGCTATACAAGCAAGGAGAGAAAAATATGATATGTACATGTAGTTATATAATTTTCATGGATCATAACCCAAAATGTTTTTCCCTTTTTTTGTAAATCTTGAAGTTCTCTTTTCGTAAGAATAATATTCTCCTCACGCAAATACAATCGAAAAACAAAATTGCAAGATGAAAATATATTGACTTTAATTTTTTTTTGAAAAAGACCTTGATACTTTTCACCAAATAAACACAGCAGATAAAAAAATAATCTGAATTCTATTCATATTACTTATGATACTTGCGGTTTATTAAATTTCAAAAGTGTAATTATCATATTCTAGTTAGAAGATGAATCTAAATAATATTAATAAATTTAAATTAAGTAATTGGAAACGTCACGGAGGCAAATTATTTTATTGCAATTGCATTGTAATGCATAGGAATTACCTGTATAATACGAACGATGAGGTTAGTATTCTGGAAATCATACTCTAAGCTGAACTGGATCTGCCCCACGTTCTCGCTGGGTTCCGAATTGTCAATGTACATGTCAACCAAAGAGACCGATCTACTTTGAAGAAACGCTCTCTGAAAATAAAAGAAGAAAATTTGTATTATAAAAATTAATCAACTTGAAACATTTAAAAAATATCGTTTTTAGAAAATAAATCATAATACACATATTGAATTTAAGAAAAACGAATTTTTGGAACTTTGTCTTATGATTAAATTTTTTCAGAGATGGTTGAAAGGAAACGTTTAGAGGAATATCGTGGTGGGTATAACTTTAATGGTACAAAGTTTACGAGGAAATTGTAAGAAATTGTATTTAGGAGGAAACTGGAATGCAGGGTGGAATAACTAGGTTATATTACACATAACCAGACGATGTTTAGAGTAGGGATGGAGATGATAGATAACATATAGACGTCGAACGATTTTCTAAGCAGATACTCGGGAAAGGAGAAAAGGAAATTGGTTGAAACGTTCGTAAACTATTAGGCATCATTTCCTTCATTAAATAGTGATGTTTTTATAGAGTATTAAGAAGTGCAAGAGGAATATCAGGTACACAATAGAAACTAAAATAATTGTTGTTGTTTATTTTTAGATCGGTATCAATATCAGTAAACTTACAATTTCATTCAGATAAAGATTTGAAGATTTTACTTAAAAATTAAGATCCTAATAGAAAAACAGCTAATATGAAGTAATAATAAAAAATTTTATTTACGAACAAAAAGAAAGAAAATAAATCAAGGATATTTCAAATAGAATCAGTTTCTGAAAACTCTCTCATAATAATAGAAATCTATATCTAAGTTGATTTGTTGACTACTTCCTATAAAAGACAATATATTAAGTTTAGATAACAGATTGTGACGCAGAGTGACAATAAATTTATCTACGTTCGCTCTCAATTGAAAAAGAAATATCTTTCTCTCTAATAGAAATCTACCTTTCTCGCAGTAATTTTCATGGTAAAGTAAACCCTTTTAAGTAGATAAAGCAAATTTGTTCATACAGATACAAATGCCTTATTTGATTTTTAAGAATATTTCTCTTATTTCTCGCTTTTCTACTTTGGATTTACGCTTGAAATTTTAATTTTAATCTCCTGTACCAACAAAGTAAAGAAGTTCTATGTTATTAAATATAAAACATATACCAACAATGACATTTTTTTAAGATTCTGAAGTAGATTAAAAATTATTAATGCACATAATGTGACAAACGTTGAGAAATTTGATCATTTATTAAGTTTGGAACTTTAATAAATTTTCTATTATTTCTAAATGAAATTTTCTCCTTTGGACCAATTTTCTTAAAGTCATCTTTAAATAGATAAGTTTTATTGAATATGTGTAACATAAGATGGCAATATTCATGATCTTTTATAAGCAACTTGTTGATTTACAGAGTCATGCTGCCAACTTGTTGATTTAAGCATCTTGTTCATTTTTATTACAGAAAATGAAACGTTAATGAAATGTTTAATAATTGTTTGGTGAAGATGGCTTTTTGTAAAATAATAAACATTAAATACAATGACGTTGAGCTATCTAATCCAAAGTTATCCAATAGTAATTTGGTGTGCTCGAATTGTGTACGGAAATCCAGGTACGATCCCTTTCTGATCGAATTGCGTCCCATTGGCTACGGGGGAAATTATTCGTTTCGAAATCAGTTGTCAATTAACGCTCGTGTGTTTATGTTGTTTTGTTTAGTGTGTGTTCATTCATTTGTGTATCTTGTTCTTGAATAATGTGGAGATCGTTAATATGATAATTGGAGAGAAAGGTAAGCCTTTAATAGTTATTGATGGTTTCAAGTTTTCTTTACAGAAAATATTTCAAACTAACATAAATCAATAGGATTGTTAAAAAAAATGGTAAAGCATATATAAACGTAAATTCAGAACATAAAATAATTGAAAAACATGTCAATCATGACCATATTCTGTATAGTGAAAAAACTTTTTATAGACAAAATCTGAGTGATTATTTAAAAAATAAAGCTAAACTAAAAAGATATTTTAAATTTAAAATCTTTTGTTGTTAAAACATGTTGATAAATTTGGAGTTAAGTAAATGTAAAATCAATACAAGTAATTATTTTTAGGTATAGAAAATTATTACATACCGAAGGATGGTCGCCTTTAACATTTTGTAGTTGTTTATTTTGTGGTCCTGCGACAGGAGTTCGTGGTTCTCCACTTGTACCTCCTGCAGGAGATTTACTGCCTGGATTACCAGAACCTGTTGTTCTGTAAATAATAAAAAAATTTTAAAATATAGAAGCATTAATATGTCACAAAGAATATTATAAGTATGTCTAACTAAAGCCCATATTGAGATTCTGTTTTAAAATCAATGTGATTAAGTAATTTATAAAAAAAATCTAGTTCATTGAAGAAAAAGCTTTTTCAAATTTCATTTTTTTGCAATTTAAATGTCGGATTCTAAAGAAATTCGAAAAAAAGTCATAAGGAATGGTACTGGTGGAATTTTTGCCATACGTGAATACAGAGACCTTGAATCTTTGATAAAAAATCTTTCCGTTCAAGGGGATAAATAAGAAGTCAAAGTGTTGGTGAAAAATCGGACCGTTTGTTTTATCTTCGCAACATGATATCTTTATTCTTGTCAGAAATATTGAAAAAAGTCTCATTTCGAAATTTTATAAGCTTTTTAACGTAAGTGATAAGACTCTATCTTTATTTCTGACCAAACTGCTGCCACTTAAATTCAAGTATGATTTTTAATAGCTGACAATGCAGACGATAACACGAGTTTTACAACAATTTTGTATAAAAATAATTAAAATGAAACAAAAATTTTTATTCTCCTAATGCTGGAGTTCTTGCGAAACAGCTTCTAGGTACGTCGAGATAGGAAAAAAGCTTCAGAAAACATTGAATTCCTTTTATCGACTCTGGCGTGAGAATTACTCTCTTAAACGAATCCAGGTGAAAGGTAGACAGTACCCAGAATGCAAGAAGACTGGTGCCTAATGAAATGGAGAAGCAGTTAGTTGCAGTTGTTTATTGGCCCCGTTAATACCCCATCAGAAGTTGGAGTGAATTAGCGAGGACAAGCTTCGTGCACTACCACGTCTCTAAATATTAGTAAGTTCCATTTACTCTTCCATACACTTGCATGCAATAAGTAATAATAAGTCAGTTACATTTTATGCATACGAAGACCTGGCCGCAGACCTTATTCTTGAACGAACATTGTTAAAGGACCATCAGGTTCACGATGGTCAATTCATAGTATACTTCAAAACTGATTAATTGCAGAATTCCATAAAGAAGATAAACCACGCTTTTTTAATTTAAAAACAGTTATATTAATAAGAGACCTCGAGAAATACGGGCCGACGATGCGATTGAATCTACCAGAGAAGAGTTTATCACCGCATTGATCGTAGCCGACTAATGCCAGAAAGAACTTGGCAGAAAATTTTGCCTATATACGAATTATCTGTTAGGGAATCCAAAATTTGATTTATATATTGCGCAGGCGTCAATTTGTGAATCGCAGTAATCCGGACCAAAAATATTAATTTCTTTTTAAATGAGAAGTCAACCATAAAAAACCAATTTTTCTCCCTCCTGCCGTTAAAAAATTCCCAAACATATCTTTTTTCGAAGCTCCTAGGTGTATATTTTCTCTTAACCCGTACTTTACATATTGTATATTGTGTCAGTTAAATTATTTTTTTGTGTATTAGGCTCGGCACCAAAGTTTCAACATCGCTCTTCTATCGTCAATAGAGATGTATATGAGGGCCAATTGATGCTCAAGTTTCAACTACGCTCTTCTACAACCAACGAGTGGCATCGGCTATTCATATGGTATCGGACCGGCATTGGCATGGTACTTGAGCTTTAACTCTGCTCTTTTATCGCCAACGAATTTATACCAAATGTCTAATTAATACTAGAGCAGATATAATGCTTTTAAATCAATAATTTTCCTGTTTGTGACAATAATGTTTTGGGATGGACATTAATAAGAAATTATCATTTACTATTCCATGTTGAAAAATACTATTAATACATGTTATTTTAAATCTCCAAATTACTGGTTAAATTGAAATTAAAAATCCAGATAAAGTTTATATTTCCAAAATGAATTGTCAACATTATATGGATGTATGAAATTATAATGAAATGTTATATGACAAGTCTAAGATATTATAAGACATCGTCATCATTTTTATATGTATCGTAATCTAATAATAATGCTTTGATTCGTTTGTACCCCTAAGCACAATCCTTTCATCATCATTCATCAGAGTGACTGCTCTAGCAGAACATCCTTTTCCTCGCAAACGATTGCAATCCCATTGTTTTACTATTTCGGTCTCTTGGTTTTAAATAAACATACCATTAACTATTAATTTTTTATCAACAATTTTCGCCGAATATTCCACATTTGTAAGTGGTTCCCCACTTACATGTGATACAATTTTATCACTGTAACCCAAAGGTGATAAAAGTGGGTGGTTAATCGTAAATTCCCTTTGTGGAAGATACATATAAAAGGACGCACCATTGCCGAATTCGTCAGTCCAGAAGTCACTCTCGAATCAGAAACCCGCGTTCTTCGTTAGTCTAGTAAGAGCTTTCAACTTAACCGGACACAAGTCACCACTTCGCGTCTTCTTCGGATCAGTCCAGAAACCGCGACCAAGTTAACAGTTGTGTATTGTCATCGAGTTTATTCTACGACTCCAGTTCCAAAAATCTCTTCAAGTACCAAGTGCATTGTTCAAGTCTCAATCAAATTCATTCAATGAAAATTCATACGAGGAGATAATTCCTAATGCGAGGCACATTTCTTTTTTACTAAGGACTGCATTATTTCGACTTCAACGTCAAATCAATAATTCGACACCTGGACTCCAGGCCTTTTACTTTGGCTGGCCCGAAAATAATTCAAGGAAAATCTACTGCACATTCTGCTTCCCACTAGACAACGTCATTTCTTCGACCTCACTCTGAAGGAGGTCTACGACTCTCAGAATAATCTTAGAAGGTAAGTTACTAATACTCTTAAAATTTGTCCCCATTTAAATTCTTGATTGATTCCACAAAGTTCTAATTTTTTCAGTGTCCCTGAAGACATCTGGATCTACTCTTTCTCTCTGATTTTCTTTGTAAAGGATTCAAATAAAAACTTTAATAATATAACTTAAATTTAACAGTAACACTTTCTTAAAGCCTGTCCCTTAATATCAGAGTTATACGCTCTGTGAATAAAGCAGGTTTAAATCACCGATGCCGGACAAATTAAATATATAAATTATGATTATGTTTAGTTTCATTTCTGAGACATAACAATAGCAACCAAAACAAGTTGTTTTTTGTTCGGGAAAACGTTGGAGAATGTTGTTGATTAATTAATTCTTTTGCAAATGTTAATTTACTCGCGTTTCGGAATTATATTGGTAATGAGTAATAAACAATTATAGTGCTATAAACAATTAATATTTAAGGGATTTCGGACTCCTTCCGGGAAGCGAATTCCCAGCAAATAAAAAGCTTATCATTACAAATGTTTATGAATATTTGTTTTTCAATATATTACGAATAACGTCGTTACACTCTTGATGAAGATAAATAATTATTGAGAAGGTTTAATTCTCGTATTTGCAACAACATTCATAATTAAATCAACGATTAATTTTTTTAAATATTTCTGACAAGAAACATATTTTTAAATATATCTTTTTATAGGAACACTTCTCTCAACATTTTTAAAAAAAATCCCATCTGTATGTATAGAACTTTGCTGAATAGAAGTTCTTTATATGAAAGTCCAACTTTATTTCCTTTTACGATGTTCATAAAGATTTAATTTAAAGCAAAATTGCTTTTTTCTGTTTTTACAAATGAAAACTTGTTGCTATCTTTTGTTTTACCTAGTTCGAACACAATGTATTTTGTGAGAAGAACTTTTATTTCGGATATTATTTTTGTATTTTGGTGTGTATTGTCGCTGAAAGGCTCTTTAGAGTGTTTTATTTTGCAGAGTGTATTCTTTGATGTCGATTGGTTGAACGTTATTAGAAATCAGTTCTTTTCGATATTGGCATTTTTTATTTCTCCTGATCGATTCAATTTACATCGTTTCATATAGTATATATACTTTTCATACGTATGCTATTCATCTACTAAATGTATCGAAAGTTGCAAAGAATAGAGTAAAAGACGACATACCGAACTACGTGAATTGAATCTTCTATTGTAGCAAACAGATATGTAAGAAAATTGTAAATACATACACATAAATTTTTTTGTATAACATACCTTAACAATCAAGAAAATATTATTGTACATTCTTTATGAAGTGGATCGTAACTATGTCAAAAGTGGTCTATCGAAATATCTATGTTGCAAATATGTTTCCGAGATGCTTTCTGTTTTCCCGTCTGGCAAATAATAATCAATATTTCTTAACGAAACGTTTGGAGCTAAAACTTGGTTTTTTTAATAAAATAAAAATTAACTGTAATTCAAATCTTTAAAACAATGTACATACAAATTTATTAAATGAAAAAATTTGAAGGAAGTAAAAAGAAAATAAATCCTGACTGTTTTTAGTTCCTATAATTCTAAATGTTAAATAATATACTAATTAAGTTATAGGAAATAAATTAATAATATCTCTTAAAATCTAATTTAAAAATTATTACTAACTATTTATAGTTAAAAGAAAAAATTTTCTACTGAAATTTTTTTAACGAATCAGGAATTTAAGGAAGTAAGAATAAATCTCAGTTTACAGCTCACTGAGGAGCTATCAATTATATCTGACGCGATATTTGTAAAGAATTGCCTACATAAATCAAATTGCGATGCGCCATTTGGTATCGAAAATTACATTTGATAATAATGGGATCGGAGCCAAGTTTATCTTTCTGTATTTTAAATTTTTTTGTCCTCCTTCGACTTTTTTTGGCATGATTTCTAGCTATTTGGAAACCAATTGCTTTTTCAACAAAGATTTAAATCCCAAACTATATATTAACGCAAATTATCAAATTAACTAATTTATTTGGTACAAATTACTAACTTTCTAATCAATTAAATTCGATTATTGAAAGGTGGTTAAAAATTACTAAAGTAATTATATTAATTACTAATAGTAATAATATTTGTATAACATATATCTTACCAAATATACGTTCTTTTACAAGTAAAAATAATTATAAAAAAAATTGTAAGAATAATTATAAAATTATCATTTTTAAGGTAAGTACTTACTCTAATTGCGCTCTAGAGATTCAATTTGAAAGCAGCACATGAAACAAACAAAATTATTTCATTAATTAAAATCATTAACTTTATACTGAAATCGTAAAATTCGGTGCATATTAGACTAAATACTAAAATAATATAATCAATAAAGTGTTATCGTTTTCCAATCAATGATGCAAATGATATTTGATATCCACAGATATGTGTTATAATAATAATTAATGTGGCTTCATTTGAAATTGATATTAATTGTCTTACGAAATTCATGGCATATGTTGTTAAAACTGACAAATCAAATTGAAATTTCATGTAATTATTATATCAGTGAAATAACTTGATTTATCGTTGTAGTATAGTATCATAAAGACACAGTAAATATCAAAATTTTACAACCAAGTTCGTACATTGGTTGCCACTAATTTTATATCTGTATGTTTTGCTCTTCTAAATTTAAAAATAATGATTATAAAGTTTTTATGGACAAGTATTTTGGCTATTTTTCAAACAATTTTTTTTAAATTAGAATGATAATTTTATTAATGTTTGGAATTTTAAATGAGAAACCCGCTTGGAAACTGAAGTATGGATAGAATGGGGTAGGATTAACGAATTGCAAAGAATTTTTGGAATTTTATTTTTGACAAAATTACTTACATTGCCATTGTCTTCCTTTAAAGAAAGACGAAGAAGAAACAATAATTTGATTTAACGACGATAATAATAATTATAATAATTGCACTAAGAAGGGATCGACGTACTTTCACTTTCACTGTTAAAAGAAGACTGATCCCCTCTATATCAGCTTTTGCCCTTTTAGGAAAATTATGAAACAATCCATAGCGCATCAAAATACAATAAAACTCAAGGACAACAAAAAGAAAAATCGATAAACATGTTTGCACACACGGAAAAGTAAATATAATACTAAGCACCTTATTTTCTTGTAATCAATGCAATATTGATCAGAAGTCTTTGTCTGGATAGCAGATGCCAAATAGGGTCCTCTGTATTTTGTCATTCATCTATTGGTTCTCCAGTTACATGTAATAAAATTTTTATTACATTGACCCAAAGGTGTTAAAAGTGGGAGGAATGACGTAAGTTCGCTTTGCAAAAGGAACCTGTAAAAGTTGCCACCCTTGCTGACTTAGTCAGTCCAGGGAACGCCTTCAAGTTAGTTAGTCCGGAAGTCAACACCGAACTTCGCGTCTTCTTCGCGTCAGTCCAGCAATTACCACCAAGTTAACTAGTTGTGCACTGCCATCGAGTTGTTCTTCGACTCCAGTCCAGAAAATTTCTTCAAGTACCAAGTTTCTTCTTCGAGTCTCCTCCTAGTCAAATTCATTCAAGGAGATAATTTCTACTGCCAGGCACATTTCTATTCTTCTAAGGACTGCATTACGTCGACATCAACATCAAATCAATAACTTCGTCACTCCTAGGCTGAGGGGCGTTTTATCTAATTTACATCGACACCTGGACTTCAAACCTTTCAATTTGGCCTGACCAGAAAACAATTTGAGGGAAATCTACTGCATTCTCTGCTTCCGTTGGACAAAGTCATTTCCTCCACCTCACACTGAAGAAGTTATCACTTCTTGGGTCTACGACTATAGGAATAATTTTAAACGGTAAGTAACTAATACTTTTAAATTTTGTCCCCAGTTAAATTCTCTATTGATTCCACAAAGTTCTAATTTTCTTTCAGTGTCCCTGAAGACATCTGGATCTACTCTTTCTCTCTGATTCTAATAGTAAAGGATTCAAGTAAAAGCTTTAATAATTTAACATCAATTTAACAGTTACTCTTTAAAAACCTGTTCCCTTAATATCAGAGTCTTCCGCTCTGTGAATAAATCAGGTTTGAATCACCGATGCCGGACAATTTAAATAATTAATTTTAGGATATGTTGGTTTTGTTCTGAGACATAACATAATAAAAGAATTGAAAGATGTTGTGTTGATTTAACGAACAATTAATTTTTCTTGTCGACATTCTTGAACTATAGTACACGCTCGCATTAGCAACACTTTGCGATTCTTTGTCAAACTTAGTTACATATTTCGCCATCATTTATCATAATAGAATTTGAATTAAACTTACGGAATGCAGCATTTTGACAATATTTCATTTTTATAGATTTATTTATTTCTTTTATTGGTTATAACAAGACTGAACTTGTGCCAAATGTAGTTCGACTTTCCAATGGTTTGTAAATAAGTTGTTTTGGTCAAAATTTCCTTGTTTTTACGTAAGTGCTCAATGTGTAAAGTTCTAGGTTCTGCATTCGAATATACTTCCCATTCCCAAGTGTGTTGGGAATGGGATCTAACAGCAAAATAACTTTAGATTTCTCCAATGAATTTCATAACACCTATATAACTAATTTTGATGCAGGTGTTAAAAGGAGTACCTCTCAATCCCCTCGAAATTAAATTATTAGATGAGAGCTTAGGAACGTTTAAAAGAAAAGGCAGAAATTCATGCACTTGGGATAATTCACCTTTTTGAATTTTACTTTTTGATTTGTTGATAAGAGAATAATGAGAGATTTCATATTTCTGCGATTATTTCCTATGAACTTTATTTTTAACAATAAATTTTGTGTGTGTATTTTTCTTCGGTAATGGAAAAGTTATTTCACTTCAACATTTTTATTCGCTTTCCTAAATATTTCTCCTTTAGGATTTATACGAAGAGGAAACCCACGAATCACAAAGCTTGAATATAAATTTACATATAACTCACTTGATATAATAAAAATTCAGGGCTCTACTTAAATTTTTAGTGTTATTACTTTCACCTTCCGATTTGTTAGATCCTCTACTTTTCTATGCCAGAAGTCGCGATGGTACATAATAGATATAAAAGTTGTAAAGAGAAATTGAAAATTTGCACTAAACAATTATTTTTAATATTTCATTTAAATGGGACAAAAGCAAAGATGCCAAAAAAATAATTATAATGATGTATTCAGATATTAATTAAATAATTTGTCAATCACATAAAAGAAAAGATCAATCCGCATTAAATATAGACAATTGAAAAAGTGATAAATTAGTTCCTAGAGAAGACAAAGCTGCCAGATTAATCTCTCGGCAACTGCCAAATTCAATTCTTACAAGAGGTAGGTAGGCGCATATATTATTCATTCAGAGTCGATATTGAATTAACAAAACTAGGGGAAGAAAACTAATATACAATATCTTCCTATATCTGTATATTTATATTGTATATTCAGCAATCTTTAGACAAATGGCTGGTCATAGTTTGAAAATATTATATAAATTCTGAATTAGATCTCGATAAAAAAAATAAAGTCAACAATTTCTCATCAGATCAATCAATTTGTAACATGTATACAGTTCAACCTAAAATATTTTCTTGATTCATTATTATCATCTTCAATTATTAGATTTATTAACAATCTATTATAATAAAAAGTTATTCTATATAGAAAAGAATAAAGATCTTTACAAATTTGAGATTGAACATCAATTTAGGTTAAGGGGTTACGCCACCCTGAAATTTTCAAAAAAATTTATTTTTTTTTTTTGCTTAATTTCAAAGTTTATATTCTAACGAATATTTTGAGATGTCGCCGAAGACAATGTCTCACTAATTACAAAAGTTATGGTCATTAGAAGTCAGCGCGGTGGGGACGCGCCGAGAGCTGCTGGAAGCAGCGACTTTCTATTTTCGAATGGTCTAGGGGGCCCTTTCATGATTTAGGAAGGGTCCTTTTCATTGTATCCCTTCCATTCTTAAATAAAAAAAATTATGCCCCTGGAATTGCTGATTAAATAGTACATTGAAAAATTTTCAAGTTATAATACACTAAAGTTCATTTTTTTCTTCTTTTGCGTTTTTCTCGAAACCACAATTTTCGAGACGGTGTACACGATAACTCAAAAACTATTCAATCGATTGACTTGAAAATTAATATACATCTTCCTAAATAGATTTTCCACAGAGTGACGTGGGATTTTTTTGATTGAATAATTTGAAAATTTTTTATCCAATTTTTTATACGGTAATTTTAGCCAAAAAAAAAATGTCAATTTTTGAAGTGCTTCTATTTGCGTAAAAAATTTTTTTTTTTAAAATGGCTTCGTCACTCTGTTCAAAATTTATCACTTTTTAAGAAAAATATTGTTTTACTTGTTTCTGACAAAAATTGAACTGCCAATCATGTACACCATCAAGGAGTGCTCCGGAAAAATTGATCCACGCCAATAGTTATATCTCCGCCATTTTTAATTAAAAACAATTTTTTTTTAAATATTTATAAAGCTCAATATATGTACTAAAGCATCAATAAATGTAAAGAAGTCCTACCTGAAACAGTTTTATCAAAAAAATTCCTAAAAAACCATCCGATTTTCATGCGTTCAGGGTGGCGTAACCCCTTAAAAGGAACAAGGATAATCGAACTGAAATAGATAGAAATCTCGTAGAAGATTATTTTTAAAACCAACTTTAAAGCTCAAAATAAGTATTAATTTCGAAAGTAGTATTTATAAAATATTTGCAGTATTTTAATTTCAAACATATAATTAAACATTTTAATTTGATTAATGTTATTCAGATAAAAATTTTATAATTTTATTGATGAGGTATTCTTTCTTAATGTAAACCATCTTGATTCGAAAACGTCTTATAATAGTTCAAATTAAAAGGAGGAATTTTATTTATTTTTTAAATAATCCAAAATGGCGAATCCAATATGGCGGACATGAAAAAATGGCTTCTTAACAATTGTAATCAAATTCCTTAAAATGATTCAATTATTTTCAAAAAATATTCGAAATTCAATTATTTAACAAAATTATTATACAATTCTTCACAATAATTCAATTACTTTCACTAATAATAAAATTTTTAATAGAAATTCAATTTTAAAAAAAAATTTGATAAAATTCTAAGCAAGAATTCAATTATTTTTATAAATAATAAAACTCATCGAAGAATTTCAATTATTTTTAATACTATTTTAAATGAATTAATCGAAATATTC